ATTTGGAGATCTGAGAATCGCAAAATTCAAATAATTGATCGGATAGTTACTCAAGGCGGTGATTTCATATGCGAGCGTGTATGTAACGCAGAGTATTTGCAGATCGTGTGAGGATGTCGATGAATGTCTAACAAGTGTGCCATGTCATGAGAAGGCAAGTTGCAAAAACAAGGCTGGAACCTTTTCGTGTTCGTGTAAAGAAGGATACGTCGGTGATGGCATTCAAATGTGCTTACGTTAGTGGATTACGATTGCATTTGTTCTGTGAATTGATGCTGACAAGCTTGATTCAACACTCACCATCTCACTATCAGTTCAGCCAAGTTCCACTGAATTGCCGAATTATGAGGCAATATCTCAACTGAGACATTCATTGTTGATTTCGTCGTCACCGTTTGACTTACCGTTCATGAAATTCATTTAAGCGATATCATCCTCTTCTATTATGAGATTTTCAATACGTTTGTCGAGTAATTCCATCACTTTCCAGAAGTATTTCATGGAGTTTTAACAATTCCATTGGTCAGTTCAGCCAACTTCAATTTCGAGTCCATCATTTTCCAGTTTTTAACTGAAGTGATTGATTGACTCTGCTTGCAGCTGATGAAACTTATTGGTGTAAAGTGTGCGATACATCAACAACCATCTGTGTGCTCAATGAACGCAACGATGCGTATGTATATCCACTAACACGTCATACTATTCTTGTTCATTTGAACTTCACTCGAAATTCAAAAGTTTTTAGCAGTTCTCCGATTGATAGTGCATAAAACAGTAGTTGCATTGTTTCATCTGAATTCGTTAGTGCTTGAATGAATGCCATGCAAAGCGATCAGGAGCCACCATTCTTAAGATTTTTCCGCTTATTAGATGGAACACTTCATCATCAGTTTAGCCAAGCTAATCGCCATCACGTACGACTTGAAACAACAGCATTCCTACATCAATGCATTCATTAGATCAATCAAAAGGGTATTGCAAGTCATGATCAATCGTTTACAGCTACAAATGTAAGTGCTTACCTGGATTCCAACCGTCTTTGAGTGATGCGAATCGTTGCGATGATATCTCGGAATGTTTCGATCCAGAGCTGAATAACTGTGATAAAACACCCGGACATGCGCGATGTATCGAAGAACCGGGCAGTTACCGATGTGAATGCAATGACGGGTTCGAGGGTGATGGCATCATTTGTCAACGTGCGTTTTCATTCCATGAAGCAATAATCACTCACTTATTCGTCGATTTGTTCATTTTGTTTCCGTTTCCGTTACCGTCAGTCAGTTCCAAAATAATTTAGGTGCAAAAATCATTCAGAATCAGTCAAATGAACATTTCCTACATGATCTATTTTAGCAATTGATCCATGTCTACGGAACAATCCATGTGC